TTTTGACTGGATTTTCCATCCCATATGAAGGGTCCAGAGGAAACACATGATAAGCGCCATTTTACTAAATTTACAGGAGAGCACTGGACGGCTGGTGGTTATCAGGTTCTTTCCGTGTATTCTATTTTTTTACTAGGCATATATCATAGGATTTAACAACTTATTGCCCTGCAGGGTTTATACGTTTTGTAGAGACCAGTTAGACCTACTATAAAATTATAAAGTCCTAAAATTAAGAAAATGGCGCTTATCAAGTTTATCCCTTGCTTGGACCCTTCATAAATTTACGATGCAGACTTTTATCAGTCACACTGTATATTTGGTACATGGGAGAATATAATAATTTCATTAATTTAGAAACAAAAAAACTGCAAATCAAGTCTTTAATTTATCAATTTTTCACGGTTCAAGATTTTCAAGTTCATGGCGATCTTGATCTATATTGACCATTCGTTTTACAGCTGACAATTGTTTATACGCCAAATAACATAAACTATTTTACATTTAATCATCTCTATTAAAATATTTTGAAAATGTCACAAGGGCAGAAAAGATAAATTTGATTTTAAACGTCGTTTACAATAAATACATTAAAAATATAGTACACTCAGTCTTGACACTCTCGAGTTTTAAGGACTGCCGTACTTTTCAAATATCAACGTGATAAATATAAAAGAAAACAAAAACAATTCCGTATTTTATAATAATATATGAATGATCGATAATATAACATAAACAAAGCGAGAGAGATGCTGATTTAAAGTTTTATAGAATGATGGTATTAGGTCAGCAAAATATGAAAGGAGACGTGATTTATCCTTTTTATTTTCAAGATTAGCCAGATTTGCTGATTTAGAAGAGTTAAAAATACACGTCCTCATTGTCGAAAAGATTCTTAAATTACAGATATTTTCAGTAGCGTTACCATAAAAAATCCAAAAATTAAAACACCCAAGTCAAGTTTTTTTTCGGTCACTTTTTTTTCAAAATCGGTATTTTGTAAATATCTCGAAAACTATGCGTTTTTTGCAAAAATTTCACGAGAGCAAAATTAAAGAGACTAAAAATGAAAATTTTCGCTAAAGTCAACCGTCTAGGCACAAAATCCCTGGAAATTTTACAATTTTGCGTAAAGTATGATATATGTATAATGTATAGTCGATTTTCCGAAACCAAATGTCGATTAGGGTTCACTAAAACTCTCATTAATTTATGAATAATTAATTGCCGTACTGGACAGCATTCATTGCGAACTTACCACCAGGTTTAGCATTGGTCTGGTTGTACCAAAGATGCCGAAGAATGGGGTTGGAAGAAAACAAAAACAGGCATTACTCCAGTCACAACGTTGACAGATCCAGCTCCAAAACCCCTATTGGCATTTTTATCTTGTAAATGTAAAATGCAAAACCGACAACTGTGGTAAAACCTGCGGATGCGGAAAAGCGGGATTAAAATGTTCAATGATTTGTGCATACTGCAATGGGAAATCCTGTGACAACGTCACTCAAGTGTCACTCGACGAATCCGATGAAGAGGAGTTGGACTTGCCTGTAGATATCCCTCTGGCGGCTGAAGATGAAGAGTTGGACGAATTGAGAGACCGCCCTGATGAGCCCAGCACAGCAGAGACGATCGACTTTGACATCAATGAGCCAGGTCCGTCGGGCTTGTGCAGATAAGTTAAAGTTTTTAATTTACCTATTGGGGTAGGCCTCCGGGGAGACCACGTTAAAATAAACGAGCCATGTACTTTACCTCTTGGGTGGTGTGGAAACAAGTACACATTTTCAATAATTAAAATTAATTATTCATAAATTAATGAGCGAATTAATGATACGCCACTGTTTCATGACAACATTGAAGAAACTAAACTAAAACTAACTAGTTTTAGTGAACCCTAATCGACATTTGATTTCGGAAAATCGACTATACATATAGGTATCATATTTTACGCAAAATTGTAAAATTTCAAGGGATTTTGTGCCTAAACGGTTGATTTTATCGAAAATTTTTATAGAACCTTTTTTATAGGAAATTTTATTTCCTTTAATTTTGTCCTCTTCATATTTTTGCGAAAAACGCATAGTTTTCGAGATATTTACAAAATACCGATTTTGGGCGCCATGTTGACAAGATGACGGCGCCGCGCCGGCGGCAAGTCTGGAAATGTGCATTTTATGGATTTTAGTTAGGGACCCCACAAAACCTATAAACCTGCAAAGATTCAAAACTTCCGGACTTTTTTCCAAGCCAAAATCCCCAATGACTGAACTATATAGTTTTATTAAAAAAGTGATAAGTACGCCTCTGGATTTTTTTCTAAATCGCTAATTTATTATACTGTTTGCCATCTATTTTATTGATATCCGATTGCTCAAGGCGAGGAGAGATATATCTTGAATTTATTCTCGACATCGGATATTTAATCTTTGGTAACACCTACAGAAAAAATCTTTCGCCAGATTGTATCGACTTTTTTTCGGTTATGTGAAAACATGTCAGGGAAAATTAAAAATAACACTTTTTTACTTACTTACGAACAGGCTAATTTATTTCTTTCGAACATTTTAGACCTACAAAATGTACACTATAAATACAGACATAAAATAAAAACAAAACAAAAATCAAATTTTTCTTTTTATACAATATTCGGACGGAATATAAACAACAAAATGGTAAAAATAAAAAAGAAACTTCTAGATGTTTAAACAAATAGAGGGTCTACAGTTATTTACGAACACATTCTCAGTTTTTATAATAATAAAGTCTTCGAAAACTCACTATCGGGAATATAGGAAGAATAAAAATTAATAATAATTAAACACATTTTTTAACAATAAAGAATTAAAAAAAAACAAATTTGTGAAATTTGAATAAATAAGCTTCGACACTGAAGAATATAACGTTTTTACTGTCAAATAAGACGGACGAAAAACTAGCATTCACATCTTAAGATTCACCTGCAGTTTTATCAGTTATAGCCTTGTGTTTAGTGAAATTGGAAAAATTGAATTTGTGAAAATAATATATAAAATTTTTTGTAAAATTACATTATTTTGTAAAACTATGCGAAAATATTCTTTATAGGGTTTTTAAAAAAAAAATGTTTCCTTACGTAAAAATAACATTTATTTTGCATATCTACATCTCCGATTCTGCTTTTTATAGCTATAGGAGGTTAGTCTTAATTTTTTTTTTCGACTTATTATAATTTTCTTCCAAGTGCTTTTAGCGATTCGAATGAGATTTGGAGGGTAAAAGCTACTATGAGTGCATACATAGTTTAATGCTAAAAAAGGGCCCACAGATTCACCAGCGACGTGCATATGGTTTATCACTGGAATATATTTCTAACAAAAAAAACATGTGCGCCACTGACATTTTTCCCTTTTATTACCAAAAGTGTGTGGGCCATTTAATGCCGATTAAAAGTTGTATCTTGGTATTTTGTCCATTTCGATCTTCTCGATGAGATAAACGCAATTTTATTAACGACAATTAATAAAATAAAAATAAAATCAATAAATTATCTATTTAATGTAATTTATTACCAAATTTTATTAAGATTTAAAACACTATAATTATTTTTTAGAAAAATATTCCAGTGATAACCCCTATGCACGGCCCTGGTGAATATGTCGACACTTTTTTTAACATCAAAATATGTCGCACAGTAACTTTTATCCTCAAAATTTCATTCGAATCGCTAAAAGCACTGGGAAGAAAATTATAATAAATCGAAAACAGATAAGTCTTTATTTAATCCCCTGTAGCTACGAAGCAACGCAGAATCGGACCTATGTTAATATGAAAAAAAATCTTATTTTTACGAGAGCAATCGCTACGAGAGATGTAACACCCTGTATAACCGGTTATCAATTACTATACAGGGTGGTCCGAACTGTATTCTGGAAAGTTCGGCAGCATATTCTGCAGATAAAAATAAGTAAAAAAGTTCGTATAAATGTATGTCCTAAATTGCTTAATTTTGTAGATACAGGGTGTAGAAGTTTCATTTTTATTTTGATTTTTTCCAAATAATTTCTGAAGTAACGTCAATATTTGGATGAGAATTGGTGTCTGGGAGTTTCTTGACATGAGGAATTTGATTTTGATGTCAATATGACTCCTTTTAGGGGGCGCCACCTACATGTGTTTTAACTGTTTTGAAGAGTAATAACTTTTCGTCCGTACCTGTATAAAACTATGGAGTGAAAAATATACATACACCCTCTACAAGTAGGAGTCATATTGACATCAAAATTAAATTTGTCATGTCAAAAAACTCCCAGACACCAATTTTCATTCAAATATTGACGTTACTTCATAGATTATTTGAAAAAATCGAAATAAAAATGAAACTTCTACACCCTGTATCTCTGAAACTAAGCATTTTAGGACATACATTTATACGAACTTTTTTACTTATTTTTATCTGCAAAATATGCTACCGAGGTTTACGGAATACAGTTCGGAACACCCTGTATAATACGGTTCCTACGAGAGCATAGTTATTTGTTTAATTGTAATAAAAAACATCAATCATATCAATTACTAGCTTTGTCGTTAGCATAAATTCTTATTCTTCTATAAATAAGTTCACTTAAATTACAGAAAAAAAACCTGTAAAAATGTGTGATTTTTCTATTTTAAGTCGAGTTTTGTTCCAGTCAGCATAAAGGCTATTTGAAGCTCTTCTTCGAAAGTTAGTAGACATTTTTTGTTATTAATGTGATTTTTACAAGTTCAACGACATACAGATCTTACTTTAACATATGGTAGGTATATGGTATACGCGTATTACTATTAAGTCTTATAAATTAATCATTTAAAATAAAAGAGGTACGAAATAAAATAAATATTATAGTTTTTACTTTGGTTTTAAATTAACAATTCGTTTGTATGTATGTATCATAAAAATCAAATTTATTCTATTTAAGCTGGAATAAAATATTTTTTGATTAATAAATACCGCGTATAATAAAAAAAACAAGTCCAGTTGGCTTAGAAACGACGATTGATGACATTTCCTATATAATACATATAAAATAACATCTTCATTTCCAAGCCATCTCTGATGCCCTTTTTTTTCCCATTATATGGTACTGTATCTTCGAAATATTATTTTTTAAATCGATTGAAAATTGTTATTTAAAACCATTATAAAACAAAACAGGTAAGTAGTGAAGAAATATATTATGTAAAATATTTGGACGGTATAGTTGAAAATAAATACGAAGATAAAAAAAATTAGGTCCCCAAATAGCTTGAATCAAAATTATTTTCACATACACTATGTATATGTATTCAAAAAATTGTGTACCTTATCGGGTGATATTTTTTGAGATATAGATATAGAGAAAAAGCTACTTCTAGCAGTTATTCACTTGCACCCTGTATATCCTTGTTTGTTAAATCTAAGCTTCTGTTTTTAAATAATATGAAAAAAGTTTTAGATTAATTTATTTATTTTGCTGTAGCTTTTTACAGAACTAGCGTTTGTTAGTTGTAGCTTCTGAATAACGGTCTAGGTAAAGCATTTAGCTCATTTTGCTAGCTCAGACAACGTAAAACAAAACCAACAAATTTCTCACGTTATTTTATTTTATATTTTAAAATATTTAAAAGAATAGAACGGCACTAATTTTATTATATCTCTTTCGTTAGTCTCTTTATTCAATGATCTAGTTCATATAATTTGACGCACCCTCTATTTTACACAGTGGGCCAATATCCCTAATAGTAGGACAAAAACTATTTTCCTTAGTCCGTAAAAATTGAGGCACCCTGTATTTCATACAGTGGGACAAAATCCTCAATAACAGGACAAAAATCTTATTCGATATCTCAAAAAACAACACCATATACAGGTATATTCAATCATATTACAAGTTCCTCGTCTTCAAAAAACGTCTCGACCAATCGAACAAACCTCGTTGTTGCCACCTTGACCCTGACCCCTCTCCCCCATCGTCGAGTTTCTTTTTGTGGTCACCACCAGGAAGCGCCGCTCACGGGAAGTACGGAGCCACGAACATGGAATTGTCCGGAACGGTTGCTGCGGAGGCGGGCGGCTCGCTCTTGATGGTTGTCACCACTGGAACAGGAGCTGAGAGTCAGTTGGGGGGGAACTATGGGACACGGGGGTGTACTCACTGTCAGAGGGGGGCCAGTAGGGATAGCGGGTGGCTGCCTCTTGCCGCACGCTGCACGGACTGAAGGTGGCTGGCGGGGGGTAACTAAAAAAAAGGAAAATGTGTTAGTTATTGGACCGAAACAATAACTATCAATAACAATCTATCAACGAATAAAAACGAAATTATATTACCATAAAAACACATTTTTAGGACTTTCAAATATATTTTCATGTTTCATTTTTAATTTTCTCTAAAACGGTACGGAAATTTGGAAAAAAATAAATGGGATTAACCATTTTGAAACAAGCAATTTTTTTTTATAAAGAATATTTTTTCTCAAGAACTAATATACAGGGTGCTTCAAAAAACATGTTCCATCTCTCATCCTGAGATTCCGCACGTAGAAATAAGATTTATTTTTCATATGAACATAGACCCGATTCTGCTTTGTGTCGTAGCTACAGGGTGTTAAAGTTTTATAATCTTTCGATTTATGCATTATAATTTTCTTCCAAGTACTTTTAGTGATTCGAATGCAATTTTCAGGATAAAGGTTACTATAAGTGCTACATATTTTAATGCTAAAAAACTGTCGATAAATTCATCATAGACGTGCATATGGGTTTACACTGGAATATTTAAAAAAAAAAGCATGTGCGCCAGTGAATTTTTTCTTTTGATATCAGAATTGTGTAGGCCGTTTAATGCCAATTAAAACTTATCTCCCAATATTTTGTCGAATTCAGCGTCCTTCTTGAGATAAACGCAATTTTATTAATCACAATTAATAAAATTAAAATTAATAAATTATATATTTTACCTAATTTATTATTAAATATTATTACTATTAGTTATTGTTACTATAAGTCCAACCTGGAGCAATTTCAAATAAAAAAATTATGGTTTTTAAGATGATTACAAAAAAACTAATTTTAAACAGATTTAACATCCTGTAACTATAAAACTATGCATTTCCATACTCATATGTTTAATAGGAACTTTTTTTCATATTTTTTGATGAGGAATCAATGAGTACTTATTTAAAACTATCGCAAGTTAATGATATTAAACATTTTTAAAGGTTGCTCTAATAGCTGGTCTAAACTTGGATCCAGGCAAATTAATAAAACTGCTTTTGTCTCATCAAGGAGGCCGTAATTACACTATTTCGCTAACAAGAGAAAAAAAGTCAGAGGCGTACATGCTTTTTTTTAGAAAACTATTCCAGTGATAACCCATATGCACGTCCCTGGTGAATATCTCGACACTTTTTTAGCTTTAATATACTAACTGTTACTTTCAAAATTTCATTCGAAATGCTAAAAGTACTTAGAAAATTATAATAAATCCAAAAAATATTAAAACTTTAACACCCTGTAGCTACGAAACAAAGCAGAATCGTAGCTATGTTGATATGTAAAAATGTGTTAAAATTAATCTTATTTTTACGCGAGGAATCTCCCCAGTAGAGATGGTACACGTTTTTTGAAACACCCTGTATAGTTAAGTATTAAGCAACAAATACCTAAATATCTGCCACTACCATTAAATAAATGTAAAAATCTCCTAAACTACTCAAAATTAAAAACGATTTTGATTCGGCATTAAAAGAAGACTCCATTTTGTCAGAAAAGATAAGGCCTTACCCTTGCTGCGGATATCCCGTCGTATTACAGGTACTATACGACGCCAGCTGATGACTCTGCCCCAACCAGGTAGGATCGTACCTCGAGTATGGCGGCGGATAGGTGGGCGGAGTGGTGAAGATGTTCCTCGTGAGCGGCGCCAAGCTCTGATGACCCAACGCCTCTCCAAAGAACGCCTTGGGGTACGGCTGACCCGCCCGGTACGGCCGCTTCATCCTCCTGCGCCTCCGGTAGTTCCCGTTCTCGAACATATCCTGAAACTGCGGGTCCAACGTCCAGAAATTCCCCTTCTTTTCACCACCACCCTCTCTCGGTACTTTAACGAAACACTCGTTCAAACTGAGGTTGTGCCTGATCGAGTTCTGCCACCCTTTTTTGTTCTTCTCGTAGAACGAGAACTTGGAGGTTATGTACGAGTATATTTCCGATAGGGTGGCGCGCTTCATGTGGGACGAGTTGATGGCCATGGCTATCAGGGCCACATAGGAGTAAGGAGGCTTGGTTAGGGAATTGCTCGAAGTGGTGGATGTGGTCGAAGACGAGGGCTGGGGTTGGGGAGAGTGGCCGGAGCTGGTGCTGGCGGCTCGGACTTCCTCTTCCGCTGCTTCGGTGGAAGAGTGGGAAGCGTTGCTGTGCTGGCTGAGGACGCTGACGTGGCCGTTGCTCAGGCTGTAGTTGGGAGACGGAGATAGAGCTGGAACAAAGAATACAATAGTTAGAAGGATGTGATTAAAGCGTTATTTGATTTTTTCGCGTACTATAAACTTGAAGTGAAATAAAATATTGACTTGGAATTAGAGATGAGAAGGTCCGAATGGATATGTCGCAGTGCATAGAATAATCCGGCTTTTTGCAAAAAGACTAGGCATATTATAAAACGCCGACTTTTTAAACAAAAGAAGGAATTTTTACAAAAAGCCTATCTATTTTCAATCACTTTGCAAAAAGCCTAATCTGAATTAGGCATGACGATATTTTCTGCACACTTCTGCAAAATGAATGCCCGTTTTCAGTCGTTTTACAAAATGCCAAATCGTGATCAAAGTTTAGTCAGCTATATTGAATAATTTACGCTTTAATAAAAATACCCCATAGTATCTTATACAAAATCAATAATTTAAATTTATGTCAAAATTTTATTTTGTTTAGACGAAAACAACTTGAACCCTATTTCATAAATTATAATTATAAGTAACATAATTTTAAATACAAAATATATTAAAACCTTAATATTAATATCTCATTTAATTATTATACTCTGTAATTCGATTCTGTGTACAGGGCTGCTTCTTTGTGGAACTTTGCTTTCTTTTTTTGGAAATTTTATTTTTTAAGAATAAAATGAATTTAGAGCTTTATAATAATTGTCCAACGATACTCTATATTTAACAGAATTATCACTTTTTGTGCCATTATTTCCTAATTTTGAAAGAGAAGAAATGTCATTGGAATTTAGGTTAGTTATACCAATCCCGAGTAAAATGTTTTGTGCAATCTGACTAGTTTTAGTTCATTAGGCATTTTGTAAAGGGACTGAAAACAGATAGGCTCTTTGTAAAATATCCTTCTATTGTTAAATGCTGGCGTTTTATAATATGCCTAGACTTTTTGCAAAATGCTGAGATTATTCGATCGCTTCCCTTTCTAAAAATTTCAGCGCACGCTACTGAAAAGCATATTTTTTAAGAATAATTTCACTAATAAAATCAGAACTGATAGGTATTTTTTAATCTGCGGCAAAAATAAATGGTACTCTGTTACGGAGATTAAAGACTCTTAAAAGCCGTACCTCGTCGTCTTAATATAGCGTTTCCTCCCACCCAACTGCCACCCCTAATTGCCAAAACAGATCGGTCCGTTAACACCCGACGATTTACGGCTCCCGCTCGCGTTACGGCTCTTTGAGACGCGACCGCGCCTTTTCTCTATTTTTAATTCGAGAGCGCGTACCACCTATCACTAATTTCGTGGTCGCTAGTTCCTAAAGGACTTAATAATTCTCGAATATTTATAGTTTCCTCGACGATATTAGCCGTCGTTTTGTATTCGGACGGATCCTTTTAAATTAATGCGTCTAGCGAGGGCTATTAATATAATCAAACATCGGAAAGGTGTATTAAAGGCAGGTGAAATTTATTCATTCAAATAGAAGTTAATACTCCAGTGCAGTTATGACATTCTCTCTCTCTCTTTGGTCCGTTTCCCTGAAGAGGGATTAGTGACTATGATGTTCCTGTAGCGGTTTTTATCGTATTGTGCCAGTCCGCTCTGTTTTGAGCCATGCTGACGGTTTCATAAAGGCCTTGGCCGATTAGGTCTTTAGTTTGATCAACCCATCTCTTGGGTGATTTTCCTCGTGGTCGCTTTCCCTCTACCTTTCCCTCGACTATTAGCAGCTGCAGTGAGTCCGTTCTTCTAGCAATGTGACCAATATATGTCAGAAAACATCGGTTTATTTTTTTTGAGAGACTGAGTTGTGAGTTTAGTTCTTGGAGAACTGACTCATTCGTACGATGGGCTGTCCAAGGTATACGTAGCAGACGTCTATATGCCCACATTTCAAAAGCATCTATTCGCCTGGTATCGCTTTTCTTCAGCGTCCATGTTTCCGCCCCATACGTAGCAATCGGGAAAACAAGCGAGTTCAGCAGTCTTAGTTTGGTATTCTTAGTGATGGCTGTATCTTCCATATCTTAGTTAATTTAGTTACGGCTGTTCTAGCCAGCGCAATTCTACGTCTTATTTCGCCTTCGCATGAGCCGCTGTTGTCGATTAGCGATCCCAGATATAAGTATTTATTAACCACCTTAAATCCAGCTATGTTTCCCACGTGAGGTTGGTTGTTGTTTTGTCGGTCCACAATCATGACAGTAGTTTTGTTAGGATTAAGTTTTAGCCCAAATTCTGTACTAGTTTCTTGGAGACGTTGCATAATAAATTCCATTTCTTCCACACTTGATGTTATGATTAGTGTATCGTCGGCATATCTTAGATTATTGATTTTCCTTCCCCCCACAGATACTCCACCTTGCCAGTTATCGAGAATATCACGCATTATGTACTCGGTATAAATATTGAACAATAGGGGTGAGAGAACACACCCCTGCCTGACACCCTTCATTGCTTGAAATCTATTTGATGTGACATCATTAATTCTTATAAGTCCGTAATTATGTTGGTATAGTTGTCGGATAAGTAGAATAAGGTGATCAGGAACCCCCATTTCCTTGAGTATTTGCCAAAGTTTTTGCCACTTGACTAGATCGAAGGCCTTAGAATAGTCGATAAAACAGAGATACATTTCTATGTTGAATTCTCGCGCTTTTTCTATTAACTGTCGTACGTTCCCTATCTGTTCTCTGGTACCCTTACCAGGCATAAAGCCAGTTTGTTCTTCTGCAATCTGTGGTAGTAGATATGGCCTGAGTCTGTTGTTAATAATCTGCAGGAGAATTTTGCATGCATGAGGAATTAAAGCAATCATTCGATAGTTATTGCAGTCTGCCGGATTACCCTTTTTATATAGTGGTATATATAGCGAGCTGCACCAGTCGTCTGGCCAAATTCCCGTCTTCCAAATCAGATTGCATATGAAATGAATAACATCAATTACCGGTTGCCCTATTGACTTTAATATCTCAGCAGCTACACCATCTATACCTGGGGCTTTATTTTTTTTGAGACGATTTAGGGCGTGTTCAACTTCTGATTTAAGGATCTCCGGTTCATGTTCGAATTGGTTGGGACGATTAATATTATTTATGACATTCACCATGTTGAAATTGCAAAAATTTTTAGAAAGCTGCGACCATTGAAAATAGTTAGCCTTAGTAACCCTTATTAACATACTAAAAGTCCCCATTTGTCCGATGTGTGCGTCATCAACCAAGACTACTTATTAGACTGTAGAATTTTGGTCTTGATCTGAAATTTTCGTTCAAAAGGAAAGATTCTGGAGAAGTGAAGAAGAAATAAGAAATTAGCAATTACTATCGAATGACAGTTACATCTATCATTTACCTTTTAACCATTTTTAGAAATGAAGATTAGTTTTTACAGTGGGTTTCTCAGGACTTATGACCAAGATTTTCTTGATTTAAGTAAGAACAATCTTCGGATTGTTACGGGGTTTTTAACAGGACACTGTCCCAACGAACACTTCAGTAGGTTAAAGGTAAGAAACAAGGGCAAATGCAGATTCTGTGGGGAAAATGGGGAAACCCCAGAACACTTCATCACTGAGCGCGCTGAAACGACAACCATTCGTGTTATAAACTTTGGAACGACTGATATCGTTGCTGCAGGACTAACCTCTGTCCGAAGAGGCGAAGAGAGAACTCCAGTAGGTTAATTTTGAATATCAGATCCTTAAACAATAACTAGCGAAGTAAATAACCAGAGGACCCCTTTTTCTTCGAATAAATTAAATGGCAATGGATCGTAGAACGTGCCGTAGCGCCTACTGTCCGTACTCCTGCGAACCAGCTGCTCCGTCTACGTGTCTCGAGGGGGCCGTTTGGCCGGCGCCCGGCTCTGTTTACGCCGTTTGCTCGCCAAACGGCCCCAAACAATGTACGGCACCGGTTTATGGGCGCGCTGGCTCGCGTTCCAATTTTAGTACCACCGACCGTAGAGAGATCACCCCAGCAAAAATGACCGACCGACGGACGTTCGGGTGTATAAATAGGTCGGAGAGAAGAGAACAATGAGTCAGTTTAGTTCTCTACACATTTAAAAGTTATTTTCTTAAAAAAAGCGATTTAGAATGTCATACATTGATTCCATTGGTTCAAGAGGAAAATTTACAATATTTCTTCCATCCAAGGATTTTTGAAGTGAAACTTATTTACGCCCGTTGGGAGTAAAAATTCAAGGCCGTGACACTCGGCCTTGAATGACCAATAGGTTTGTAGCTTCAGAATGGTAAAGTATCTAGCCCATTTGCCAGCTCAGAATTAGAATTTAGAGTTAGTAACTCGCATTTTCATTAGAGGAATGTAAAATGTTTAGGAGTGGAGCTAATCACCGCGACCTTATAGATCTATTGTGTGTTCCCCTTTCTCGAGTTATAACGAGTTATAACTCATCATACAGTCTCAGGGCTCTCTTTGACAAGAGCCAGTATCTGAGACGGCTCCACAGAAGCCAGCTCTCCATCCTCGACATCAGCCGTACCAAATATTATGGCAGGTCGTCGTCTCGGCGCACTCAGTGATAAGGTGTTCTGGTGTTTCCCCATTTTCCCCACAGAATCTGCATTCGCCGTTGTTTCTCAGCTTCGGCCTACTGATGAGGTGTTCGTTGAGGAGACAGTGTCCTGTTAGTAACCCCGTGAGAATCCGAAGATTGTTTTTACTTAAATCAAGGAAAACCTTTTATTTTTCTCGGTCGTAAGTTCTGAGGTACTTTTTCGAGTGTCTTAGACCGTTGGAGGACACCCATTCCAAGTTACGGATGGAGTCTTCCAGATTCTTCAGTTCCGCTTTCAGTTGGTTCCCGTTTGGAAAACAGAACGGTTCTGGTTCAGTTAGTGGAGTGTTCGCTCCTTTCCTAGCTAGATCATTTGCTTTGTCATTGCCTTCTATCCTCCTTGGTGAGCAAGCACCGAGTAGGAGGACTTTATTTTCTTTGTTTAATTTGTTGAGCTTCTCTAGGCTGATCGCGTTAAGTGCTGCTTGACTATCGGATAGAATG